AAAATTTAGAAGAATCAGAAAAAAAAACAAACAAAAAACAAAACAACAAATCCTGACATGTCTCATTTTAATCCTAATTTCATTTCTGAGGTAGTATTGTTCATTGGAGGGTGGGTATAACAGGTCTATTTTGGCCTCTGCTAGTAGTAGCTAACTACAGAAAATAGGAACATTGGTTTTGTACGGCCATAGGTAAAAGATTAATACAAGTATAACCAAACCATTGCAGAGCAACTCTAAACACTTCAATAAGTAATAAAAAGTGGAGCAATGATCTCTGTATCTATTTGGGTATAACCTATGACTCACTCAGGTATTCATGAAAAACCTGAATTTCCTAATTATTTCAGATCAGCAGGATATCCTTGAGAGCAATCAAAATGCCTAGTGTGGAATTCAGCTGCAGTTGATTTTGCTCAGCCTTGGACCTTAGTTCAAGAATCACACCCAAAGCACCATGTCTGAATGCTGATGGTAAAGACCTGTGTACTCCATGATACCCATTAAGCATCCCATTCTGTTCCTCAATTTGCGTGTTGTACCTGTACACATTTTTATTACTTTGCAACATCAAAACCTGAAAGCATTCCTGAGATTGTCTGCTTCTTGGGAGTTTGCCTCCACAGGACTTTGATCTGCTAATCCAAACTCCTTACAGCAATTTAGCACTTAATAATAGGCAAACAAGTAATTTCTGCTGTATTACAGAAAAAAAATAAGCAATCCAGTAGTACCTATGGAATGTTAGCTGGAATTGTTCAACTGAAATGGCACTGTTTCACACCAATTTTCACTGAGGATACAAGGGAATATTCACAGGTTCATCAACTTCTGACAAGCACTGAACTAATCATCTGATACACCTGTCAATGAAAGCACCTGGAGTGTCTAAATCTTTGCAGAGGAACCTGAAAACTATAATTAGGTGTCTACAGTCTATTCTGTAGCTCACATTTATTGCCAAAACCTGTAAAACAATTTCTCTTTTATAGAGTACTATTTATAAAGCATGTAGAGTGGTTAAGTCAGGATAAAAGCTCTGGGGATCAGTATTTGAAGACTATCTAAGAAAAACACTTCTAGAGACCTCAGTTTTAAATGTGCGGGTTTTGAGACCAGTGAGAATTTCTAACTTTTCAGAGTTATTGGAGAAATAAAAAGAATTACCAAATATGTTGAGTTGAGGAAACATGTTTTGTTCTTTTACTGTTCTTACTAGACTGTAAGAGTTGTTAGCCCCCAACTAGGGTTAAAAGTGAACTTGGTTTAGAAACTTCTAAAATAATCTCAAATTAAAATGTATCAGTTTGTATATTATTAGATGAATATTAAAGAATATAGTAAGACGTAGGAGGAATCCATTTTTAAGTCTGTTGGTAATCCCTTTCTTGTATTTAGCAAAATAGAGCAAACATCAGTATAAAACACCTATTGTCTAACAAAAAGGCTGCTACAAATAGAGAGGGAAAAGTTGACAATGTAAATTAATGAAATGATGACAAACATTCATACCAACTCCCTTCCTTCCACATTCAAACGTCTGTACTTGTGAAGAAACATTCTCCCCACCATTTCCCAACTGGCACTGGCCTGGCCAAATGCCAAGCCTAAACCATACCAAACAAATTAGCATAACAAAGGTATAAATATGCTCCGACAAAAAGATCTAACGTGACTGTTTTATGTGATGTTCTTTTAATTAGTCCTATTCCAATAAGCCTCATTTTTAATTTCATAAGCCTCAGAATCCATTTTGCCTTGGTGAATTCTCCTCCCCCTCAGTAATTAACTATTTAACTGTGACTAATGAAAAAATAAGTCAAATTGCAAACTGGTTTTATCAGCAGTGATAATTAATTAATCATTGGTTCTATTTAAATTGCTTGAGTATTTTTATTATGAAAAAGTAGATAATCAGTCCAGAGTTAGCTTTCATTTTCAGATTTCTATATGCTCACTTGAACACACTCACATACATAGAAGTGACCACATTTCTTTTTATGATAAAAACTCCTTGCAAATTACCATATTTTTGTCTTTTACCTCTTTTCAGGCATTTAGAAAAGTTTATGGCAGTTCAATTAAACAAATTAAAAAATACACAATGGAGAAACTCCTAATAACTGGAGCAAATGCTGTACAAATATACAGTAATAATAGCAGCTAATGACACCATATTTAAGATTATGAAGTGGTATCACGATGGAGAAAAATGCTAAAATTTGTCATGTTTTGTTGATCTATACACAGTATAGGCTTTACAGTATGTTTCCTTCTAAATTGTTGATTCATCAAATAAGTTTAAAATGTCCCACAGTAGTTCCTATTACAACTATCAAAAACAGTGGGACATAGTACAAAAAGTATTTTATTTTAAACAACAACATTTTATGACAAGTATTTTGACTCATATTCCCCATGTTAATATTCAGCAAGGTCTTAGAAAATCCAAGGACATGTAACAAGGAAGCTACTTAAGGAGCAGGGGATCTGCAAATTCATAGGAAAAGTGCAATAAGAAACATTTTAGGATTGTACTGTAGGAATCAGAAGGGACTGAATATGTGTTTAACCTGAGGACTTCTCTTTTCCTAACTCTTAAAATAACATGCAGGTTAGAAAAAGATGTCTATAAGGGTGTAGTTTCATCCTACCTCGTTTTAGGAATTTAGGATCATTTTAGTCTGTATTCCCCCACTGGGGTGGGAAAGTTAAGCTCTTGCCCAAGAGGGTCGAGCCCGCCCAAAAACATCAAATTCCCAGCACTCAGGTGCCTGAGCCTTGCAGACGTGGGTGCTGGGCCAGGGTATCTCTATCTGCACACAGTGATGCCATGTGCTGAGTGCCCCAGTATGGGGAGGGAGGTGGTTCTCTCATGGCTGAAAGAGCCTTGCATGAAGGCAACTCCATGAGAACCACGTGTAGCAACTTCTTCCAGTTCAAGAGATGAAATGCCCCAAGCCATGAAATGGAGGGACACACTTTTATCAGGCATTCACAGTTCAGCAGGTGTCTCTCAGAACCTGACTTCACGCATCACATCTCACTGCCAGGTGAGCAGTGCAATCCATATATTCAACATATATTCAACAAGTACAGCAGGACTCCCTGACATACCATATACAACACTGTAATGTAACGCTCTTTTATTTTGCATTTTTCGGGAAACTGACTGAACTCTGAACTAAGCCCTGCTCTTGCACAGAGACTGCAGTCTTACTTGTCCTTTTATAACCCACTCGTTTCTGTGCCTCCAGGAACTCAGTGGGAGCTGCTGACTCCACAGAGCTAATCAGTGGTATTTTGCTTCATGCAACACAGCAGTTCATACCTCCTACTGACTTAGGAATTGTACTACTACTTTCTTCCATGCTTGAATGTAGTTGTAGTCGGTTCTGTATTCACAAAGCAACTATAGCAGATATATGTATAAAATGATACTAAACCACTGAAATAAAAATAAGCCTTGCTCAGAAAAGCAGGTTTTTTCTCATTATGGAGGTGATCACGCTGGCTTGCGTTTTGTAGTGTGACTTTCAAAGACTTGCATGGTCTGCTATACAAATATTGGATTTTTCTGGGATAGTTTACCAGCCTGTAAAATTTATGGATAAAAAGACATCCATTCTTTTATTGCCTTCAGTATTGTAAAACAGTAAAATAATTTTGTGAAAGTACTGTAATGTCTGTTTAGTTAAAAACACTTAGAAATAAAATAGAAACCTTCCCTTCTTCAGCATTATTTTTGCCATTTTTTCCTTCTGCGTTTCCAAGAGGTATCTTGCAGTAATGCATTTCAAAGGCATTCAGTTATGAAGCCCTGTTTTAACTCTGAAAATGTCCTCATTTACAACTTCCCATTATTAGCAGATACAAATTATTTATGTTGGATAAAACTATTTATGAAATGCCACCATTGGCCAAATTCTAATCCTGATAGTAGCTTTTAAATAGTCAACAACCGATTTTCAACACTATCAGTGCATTTTCCTGGGTTTTTTTTTTTTTTTTTGGTGGAAAACCAACAGAACAGCCTCTCTTACCCACTTCTAAAGTCCTATTCAGTTACTTGCTGAAAATTACAGAAGTGAGAAAGAATGCAACGGTGGAAGGATTGTATCCCACACAATTTAAGCAAACCAAGAAAACATCTTGCCTGGAGATTTACTGTGGAGTGTGTGAAAGAATAAACACATCTGTTCAAAGGACGAAAGGACTCTCATGATTAATAGGGTCCACAGAGGATAAAAACGTGCCATTTTACACAAAAGGTCATTTACCCCATTCAAATGTGATGGTGTACGAATAAATACTGTGTGAGAGAGATCTCAGTATTGTACAAGTGGATTATATGAAAAAATAAACTAAAAATTATCTATCATTGTATTTGCAACAAAAATGATCCCAAATGGGAATGTGGCCCCATCTCTCAAAGCCACACTTTTGTTACCTGAACGTAAGAGCAAAATAAAGTATTTCCCAAATCCTGTTTTCACCTGAGAAGCTATTAAGAATGTAGACAAAAATGTGTGCCCGTGTCACCTGAAAACTTACAATCCCCATTCTAATCACACACGTACATGATAGGTTGCAAAAAAAAAAAAAAAATATAAAAAAAATAAATCGGTCTTTTAATCTAATTTTCGCTCTTTCTTCAGCATGCACTGAACTCGGATGATTTGTAGACGGTGTCCTAGCCCCCCAGCACTCCAACGCTCCCCACAAGCCCCCAGCCCCGGGCCGGCTGAGGCGGCCATCTTCCCTTACCGATCTCACCTCACCGCGCCCGCCGCCCGCCCCCCGCCGCGCATGCGCCCGCCGCCCGCGCTCGGTGTGCCGCAGAAGATTGGGCTGCCGGCGCCCCGTAGTTTCCCTGGCAACCGGCAGGAAGCGCGGCCGGGGGCGCCGGTGCCCGCCCGCCAGGCCGGGGGTGTCGGTGAGGCCGGCCGGCAGCGCGGCGTCGGGTCGGGCCCGCCGCCGGTCCCCCTCCTGCCTTTCTGAGGGGCCCGTCAGGAGCGGGGATACCGCTGCCCTCTGGCCGCCTTGATCTGGGCTTCCCTGCGGGAGAGTGGGAGCTGTGGGGAGCGCGGAGGGGCCCGAGGAGGGCGTGCGTGTCCCTCCTCGTCGTCTCGCTGTGTCCCTTGATGCCCCGTGGCGTTCACCAGAGTCGGGCCGGGCCGGCGGCTCTGTGGTAACTTGTCAGAGCTTTGCTGTTTGAGCATATTGGCCGTTACGCTACTTGATGCCCCTGTCTCTCTTTCTCTGCCCTAGCTGCGCCCCGGGAGAGGTGACACCAGGGTAAGGGAGCAACCTCGCCTTTAAAATCCTACTTACTTACTTTCATTCCGCCTTCCTTAAGCGACTTCTAGAACCCAAACTCCAGGTCGCGCTTTTCCTCCTTTGAAAGATGTCTTTTAAAGGTGCTTGTTCTATCTCAAGATTTCTGTCCTTTGCTTGAAGTATGTCATCTGCCAGGAGGATGGTTCACTTCTGTAGCAAACCTTGTATGTCACTCATTAGTTTCACAACTACACTCCTGCTGTCTGATCTCTCTACAAATGCGTATGAGTCTCCCATCTCTTAACTACACAAGAACTTTCATCTTGCTCTGAAGACAGACCTTATGAAAAGTCCTTCTTTCACTCTCTGCCACCTCCTCCTCTGCCAGTACATAGGCATGTTATCTCAGTTGCTTTTCTACAAAACCGTTATCACTGTCCTTTACTCCTCTCTTTACTTTTGTCCCAAAGGGCTAAAAATGTCCCTGCCGGTTGTCACAGCTTTTATTGTTTACTTTCTCTGATGATACAACCAGTGACTTCAAATGCATCTAGATTTTGTCATTAATTAAAACCTTAGTAATGTAATCAGCATGTATCTTAATTAGTTTTTGGAAAAAAAAAAAAAAATCATTTGATTTACTTCAGAATACTTCTCTGAGAAAAATATTTATGTTGTTATTGGCAAGGTGCCTGTTTGTGTTCTGAGCAATTGTACATTTCTAAGGTTGACACTGATAGCACTATTTTGTGATATGTAATGCTAATGTCAATAACTTATCTGGTGTTTTTATAGTATAAGACCATTTTGATTCTTATTATTCCGATAGTTAAAAACATGTTTCCTAACTAACGTGATTAGAGTTTTGTGATAATGAGCTGGCACTTATAAAATCAGTACATTTTCTGTGTTATTTGTCTTTTAGGGCTTCAAATTATTTCTGGTTTTAATGATTTGCATTTTACAAACAGGATAGTTCCTATAAGTGTCATGTAAGTTTTTGTGTGCAGAGACTTAATACTCTAATTGTGGTATGTCAGTTCATCTTTTAAAAAGACCATCAGCGAATACAGGTTGTATTCTGAAAATGGTAGGAAAGAGAAAACAAGATGTATAGTGGGTAAACTGATTTGAATCACTTGTTCTGGTTAAATCATCAGTCAAGAAGTATTGATTTAGACTTTCAATTTTAGTTTTGGTTTGTATTTGTTTAGCTAATTTGGTAATCATTATTATATGTTATTTCTCAACATTCAGTAAAATTTAGGCACCACATTTAGTTCTTGCTACAAGTCATAAGGACATAGCATTATCTACACAGGTGCTGGGACCTTACCACTTCTCACTAGAAGCAGAAATAATCCTAAAGATTTAGTAATTTAGATAATGACAAAACTACCTGACTAGAAGTTCTGTTTGGAGGGAATAATTAGAATAACCAAGGTAAACAAAGACTGCATGTACAAGATTCTGGCAGAGATTAGGGCAGGTGGCTTATAGAGCTGAGGGTGTGGAAGTAGCATAGCAAAAAAATCTGTCTAGTTTATCCTCATCTCAGTATTTGGAATTTAGTCATGTTGTTGACATAAACACGTGTCATTAGCTCGTGAAAGGTGATGAGTAGATGGCAAGCACCGAGCTCATCTTCATGGCGATGTTTGTTTATTTTACAATGTTACTGGCCTCCTATTGTTTTAATCTCTATATAGTGTCATTTCTTGTTTACCTAGGAATGTAATTTCTTATTTATCAAATTGTTCTCTCCATCCAGAGTACATCACAGCATGAATTACTGAATATTAATAATATTCAGAACTAGCATTTTCATACTTCATAATTTTATTAACATTTGAAAACCTTTATTTTCCCAGGAATGATTTATATTATTCATCATAGTGTCAGGCTTGGTGTGTTAAATAGGCAGTAGACTGTTATTTTTATTAGGGACATTTTAACCCGGTTATATACATATATAGTAACATGTGTACCTGGTGCATTAACATTTAGAAGATACGTGTACCTATTTCAGTGTTTATGGATGTATGCAGAAAGTTATTTTTGCATCCTTTTTAACAAAATCCTTTCATTCTTATTGCAACTGGAACTCATTTTTTTGTGTTCTTTCTTTGCTGCTTTACATTTCGGTTTTATTCTCTTATTGATTCTGCTTTGTATTTTGAATTTACTTGCTCTTCTGTTCATTCCTTCATCCTGGCCATTCCTCAGATTGTTACTGTCATCTGCTGTAACTGTACCCAAGCAGCCTGGTTCACTCCAGGCTTTTCTGTGGAGCACTGTAACGCTGCTCAGATTTCTGTAGGCTACCATAAAGGCAGACTGTAGCTAATTTCACTTTTGCTGCAGATCTCAAAGTACAGAAGTAAAGGGGAGCAGTGCAGGATTAGGAAATGTGTGCATTGGAAAGATGGAGTGACAGGAATATCAAAATTAGCCCATGCACTGTGTAGGATATATAAGAATAAGCATTTATTTTCTAGCACACTTATTCAGATTTTCTTGATTGATTGTTCATGTCAGTCTTTGGGCCTGGGGAATCTAACCCTTGATACACTGTCATATAGGAATAAAAATTATTTTATGTTTTTAATCTTTTTCTATTCTAGGAAGCAATGTTCTAAGAATGTCATCAGGCATCCAAATAAAACCAAAGACTGCAGTACAGAAAAGCAAGACATCTTCTCCTTTGCCACATTCTCCAGAATCTGTAATTAAACCACAGCCAAAGCCTAGTGACAAGCTGAATCCTAAAACTATTGATCCAGTATGTATAGATTATGGGGTTTCTGTTCATTTGTTTAAAACAGATCTCTTGTTGGAAGGAGTTTCCTTACTTTATTAAATACATGCAGGACAAGCTGATGCTGCTTCTGGTCTTGTTTTGAAAATGTAAACTGAACTTTTGTTATTAATCATACATTCCCTGATTTCTAAGCTCAAATGACTGAGATGTAACATGTTTATTCCTTTTTTTATAATGGGATTTCAGTACAGTTGTGGTTTGGATGGTACTTTGTTATTTTCAATGTATTTTTGGCCTAAAAAAGAGACTTAGAGCTAAGAGTTAAAACGGATTGAGTTTTTTTTTGGAATAATTACAAATTTTGGTACCCACTGCTTTAGAGGAACAGATCTTACTTATGCAATGAAACAAAGACTCAGGCCACCTCTTGAAGATGATCATTACCTCATAAAATCTAGCAGATTAATTGCTAGCTAGCATTACTTGAAACTCCCAAGTATTGTGTCTGTGTAATACTTTGGGAAGAATTTGGGTTCTCAGGAGAAGACTGATAGAAGGAGTTGTTTATTTCATGGAAGTCCTGTGCCTGGAGAAAGCTTTGAGTGGGTGAATTATAACTCACCACTGGACCATATCAGCCAAACAATTAGTAATGTCACAGACTTTTTGGAAAACAAACTAAATACAGGAGTACTTTGATGAGGTACTAGTTTGTCATAAACAGAGGCTGAAGAATGTTGGCATTTCTTTTCTTGAAAACTTTTTTGCAAGTAGTACAATGACTAAGCTGCGGAGTCATCAAATCATGCATACAATTTTAACAATGTTAATGTAGGTTCAAACACTCAAAAATTAAGATTTCATGGTATTTCCTGCTATATGCTTTGTGACAAGGTGTTTAATCTGGGAAGTAACATTGAACGATCATGCTAATAAATAATATAGTTCGTATGCATAAGAAGCATGTATATGATAAAAAACAACTTTGTTCAGGCTTTCCTCCCATGAAGCTCCTAGTTTCCTTCTCCAGTGAGTCCCTCCTAGATTCTCACCCGGTATGAACCTCTCTGCTGATTTCCAGTGCCCTCATACCATCTTGCCCAACATTTGGTGTTTTCCTATGTCTTCCCACCTTGTATTTTTATTTTTTTTCTAGACTCAGATCAAGATGGAATTGGAGTAAATGTGCATTCTGCATGTTGCCAGTATAACAACAATAAGAGCATCTAGTGGAAGCACCTAGTGATCTAGTGGCGGGTGTCCCTGCCCATGGCAGGGGAGTTGGAACTGGATGATTTTTAAGGTCCCTTCCAACCCAAGCCATTCTATGATCAGGAAAGTGAGAAGTCCTTAATCTGTTAAGGAGAGAATCCATAAGACTTCAGTGTTAAGATTTGCAAGATAAAATAGAAAAATAAGGGTATTCCATCAAGTGAGTACTGATTCTACATTATTTATTCATTTTCACAACTTCCTAGTCAGACAATTCTGAAAAGCCATTTTCTGATAAATGTACCATATATGTTTTCTACCCTATATCTCCAGTTCTTTTTTTTGATTAGTTTTGGAATCATACGACTAAGTTACTTTCTTGTAAAACTGCAGTTTTAACATATGCATAATAGTTATCAGACATTACTGTTAAGAATAAATAATGCTTTTTTTTATGTTTTTTCCTCAGTTTGGTGATTATTCTCGACCACCTTCTGCATTTGCTGCTATATACGCTAAAGGTGGCATTCCATGCAGGTGTGTTGATTTTCCTTACATTTTACTAATTATATCATGGCTAAGTAGAATTACACAGATTGAAATACATCTATGCATATTTGATCTTTTAGTTAGGCTGTTTGATTCCATTCATTTCTGAAAAGATTTTTGATACTTAACTCCTTTCAAAGCAGAAAGCAATTTTCCATGTCTTTGAAATTGTCTTCTTTTGGATCTTTTTTTATACTGTGTTAATACCAAGGCTGCATTTTTAAAGAATAGCTAGGTATTTATAGATTGGGCTTGCTAAACCTCTTTCATGAATGAAGTTGCTTTCTTCAAGTAATGGTGCTTATTTCTCTCTACTAACAAAGACAATAAAGTTAATGCCATTTTAGTAAGTGGACATCTTGCAGTCTTTTTTTGTCTGAAATAAGTAACATGAAAACATTTTCTTGAATACTCCAGTTCTGTAGTTGTCAGCAATATCAGATACTATCAAAAGTACTTGTGAGTAATAGTTTGTGGTATTTTAGGTAACTTTTGTCTATTATGTATTTGCCTGGACAATAAGCACTTTAGTGTTTAGTCAAATGGATCCGGAATTGCTTAACAAAATGTTGTGGTTTGAGCCTGCTCAGCAGCTAAATGCCACACAGTCGCTCACCCACCCTCCCCCCACTTGGGAATGGGGAGGGATCAGAGGGGCAAAGGGAGACTCGCAGGTTGAGATAAAAACAGTTTAATAATAGGAACAGAATGATACACTGACAGCAGTATCAACGGGTAAATGTACCATACAGCTGCTCACCTCCCGCTGACCGACACCCACCTGCTCCCAGCTGGTGATCCCAAACACAAAGACACCACAGCCACACTCCCAGAAGAGAGAGCCCCTCCTGGCCCACTCCTGCCTTTATATAGTGAGCACAATGTCACATGACATGGAATATCAGCCAATCCCAGCTCAGCCCTCCAGCTGTGCTCCCCCCGCCCCCGCACACAGGTGAGGGCACTGGGACCTGGGGAGCCCCTGGGGTCTCAGGGTGCTGCAGCACTCCTCGAGCTACTAAAACGAACATGAACTCTATTCCAGCCCGAACCAGGACACAACAATATATATATAATCATTAATACACAGCCTTTATCTGTATTTTAGGAGTAAGTTGTTAATTCAAATGTGATTTTCTTTCAGTTTCAATTGATTTCCCTTGACAATTGTTATTTGAGGATATGTTTATGTACTCATATATATATTTAATATTTATCAAAATAAGTAACTTTGCAAGGGGAGCATATTCTGTGTCAGTATGAGAGGCATCTATAATTTTTATAACTTTTATTTTCTGACTTCAATGTGATTGGGAGCAGAATTTTGAAAACTATATTTGAGAATTATAGTTGCACTGCTAAATACCATTATACATGTTACTAAGGAGAGTGGTAGGTATTGAAATTGTGTATATAACATAGAAATATTGCAAACCTATTGGTGATGTAATTAAAGTGAATAGTGTTAGCAATAAATTATGTATTATATGTTAATTTTTTAAACCTTTATTTTTGCTATAGGTTAGTACATGGCTCAGTGAAGCATAGACTGCAATGGGAATGCCTTCCTGAAACTGTTCCCTTTGATCCTCTTCTTGTAACATTGGCAGAGGTAAACTCAGTTTTCTTGTAAAGTTAAAGATACAGGATTTCCTAATTGCAAATGGCGTTTTGTAACAAGCTAAGCTAGCTAACTTAGAATCACCCACTGGGGAAATACAAAAAAAAAACCCAACACATTTGTGAGGATCTTGTATAAATGAAGATAGTCAAGAATATTGCCATCTGTAGTTCCTTAGTTAGAGCATTCTCAGACAGCTAAGTAGAGCTATTTAATCTTCGAGATAATGGCCAAATGTGAGACTGCATCTCAGATTCCCAGCTGGTGAATGAAATACTTAAGTCCATTTATGGTTTTGCAGGTTCTTTTGTAAAGAAAATTGTTTTGATTCTTTTGCTACAGTGTCATCATTTGAGCTCAGAGGGCAACAAAGCACCACACAGCCGCTCACTCCTCTCTTCCCTCCCAGCAACGAGAAGGGAAAAATACGCCAGGCTTGGGATTTGAGATAGGACCCGGAGGGGCAGATCACCCATTATGGTCATGGGCAAAAGGCAGACTTGTTAGGGGAAGAAAAAAAGAACATACATTTATTATAGACACTAAAAACACTTAACAGAATAGGACAGTGAGAAGCATTGCCACATCTTGAGAACACCTTCCCCCCACCCCTCCCTTCTTCCCGGGCCCAGCTCTGCTCCCGATATCTCTACCTCCTCCCCCAGTGGCACAGGGGCAGGGAATGGGGGGTGCAGTCAGCGCTGCTGCTTCCTACATCTTCAGTCGGGTAGCTTCTGGAACTTGTTCCCCCTGTTCCATCATGGTCCCCCTCTCACAGGAGACAGTCCTCCACAAACTTTCTCCGACATTAATTCCTCCCATGGGCCGCAGTGTTTTCCTTCACTGCTCCAGTTGGGTCACCAACTTTTTCCGACTGGATTCCCTCCCACGGCTGCAGCCCTTCCTGAGCTGCTCCGGTGTGGGACACCCCCACATGCTGCAATCCTCCCAGCACTGAATTACAGCAGCGGGGCTACCTTTTCCCACATGACCCCAGCCTTCTTTGGGCACAGCACCTGGATCATCCAGGCGAAACACAGGCCATAAATCAATGTCTGCTCCACCATAGATCTTCATGGGTGGCGGGGGGGGGGCACCCTGCCATCCCACCACAGGATACAGGGGGGTCTCTGTTCCAGCACACCTCCCCCCTCCTTTTTTCCTCCGTTCCTCCACTGACCTTGGTGTTCACACAGCTGCAGCAACTCCTCCTCACAAGTCCGACTGCACATCACCACGTCCCTTCTTAAATACGTTATCGCAGAGGCGCAGCTGATTGGCTCAGTTTTGGTGCAGAGGTGGAGCTGACTTGGAACTGGGGTTGCTTCAAGAAGCTTCTCACAGGGGCCACCCCTATGGCCTCCTCCCCTGCTACCAAAAATCCCCACCACTCACTCAAACCCAGGACATATATAAAGCCTACCTATCAAAGTGAGAGTGCTGTTCTCAATAGATTGAACTGATAGAGTGGAAATAGAATCCTGTAAGTAAGTGAAAGAGAAATAGTATACATTATATTCAAGCTTCTGTTTTCTCAGCATCATCTGTGACATCACCAAATATGTTTCAGCAGTCTAAGTGTTGAATCCAGTGCAGTAGATGGAATAAAGTACATACTTGAGAGGTGGTTTTCTATTTTATTATTATTTTGTCAAAAATAAACAAAGTTGTCAATTCCTAAAGTAACTTAGAGCTTCTACTATAGAAAGAAGAAAGCCTTCAGCCATAGGGCTTTAAATCTTCAAGTTCTGCCAGTCAGGTCTTCACTAGAAGTGTTTATTTGTACCATCTACCATTTTTTGGTGTTGCAGAGATGTGTCAGGGGTGTCTTTCCTTCCATAGTTCACCTTCTATTTTTTTTTTTCCTTCAGGGTATGAAAACCATTTACAAATATAGCCTATACTTATTCATGATCTTGCTCAAAAATTACCTCGGGTAGTTAGATTAAAGGTAATGAACTACAAATATTGATTTAATTAGCAGTATTCATATGAGTTTTAATATTCAGTGTTCCAAAAGAAAAATTTATAATATTCTGTGAGCAGAGTTGTACTCAATGGCTCCACATGGTGGAGTTAGTGTATTTTATGTTTTGAACTGATGTAACAATCTAAATATTATCTTGCTGCTATGTGGAACATTTTAAATGTGTTTTTGTTTAAAAGAAGGCTTACTATTAAGCAAACGTTTTACATTTGCAACAGGGTCTAAGAGAGACAAAACATCCCTATACCTTTGTTTCAACGGAGGGTTTTAAAGAATTACTTCTGGTTGAAGGTGCTACTGAAAAAGCAATTCCCTTGTTGCCTCGCTTAGTTCCAGTGTTAAAGACTGCATTGGTATGTCTTACTCTTCATGCAGAGATTTTAATGGGTTTGATTTTTCATCTTTTCTTTTTTCTTGTGCTGGTGAGGACTACATGGATAAATCTTTTGCATGGGCTTTTGGGTTGGGGAATAGGGGGTGGGAATAGTTTCTTTTTCTCATGTTAACCCTGCCTTGGTTTTATATGCTAAATATGTCTATAACTGTAAATTCATTCAGATGGGCAACTAATTGTATACCTGTATGACAGTAGCTATGGGCAAATTCTGTAGAAATGTTCTATGAAAGATCTATATTAGCAGAAATAAATATGTTTATTTGCGGTGTTTTTATATATCCACATAAAAACATGCAAAAAAAAATTGAGGTGAAATAAAATGGAGATGCGGAAATAAATACTTCTCTGTTGCATTTAAAAACCCAAAACATGCTACAAAGATAAAACAGAATATACCAATGAGGAAAAGGGAAGAATACAGTTAAAATGTCTGAGGTCATATTTTTAATTTTTAAAATGTTTTTAACTTTTCTACTCCTTCAGAAAATAAAGTGAGGTAGAAGTATTGGCCTCAGGGGTAGTGTCTTTGGGATCTTTTTCATATCTTTCAGAGCCCTTTGCTGGTTCAGCTACTTGCTGTCCTTTAATCTAGCTGTGTTTCAGTTCTGGTTTTATAGAAATGGCTGAAAGTTTGAAAATTCTTTGTCATCTCAGATCAGAAGTGTAATAGAAGATAAGAATTCTGTGTTACCGGTATCTCTGGCTTAGTTTGGAAGACAAAATTAGAAAAAATATTATTGTCGGTTTTCCAATTACTGTTATTCACCTGATAATTTCCATTGTTGCATTGTTTTGATATGAAGTCTTGTTAAACCTTCTACTACACAAGTAGTCAATGACTTCTAGTTTAAAAAAAAAAACAGTTCAGGGTCCAAATGTCAGAGTGAAAAAATAGCTGTTTAAATAAAGGTCTGTATTAGTACAAGAACAACATATATTGTTATGAATCAATTTCTCTGCTAAAAGAAGAGTGAGATCACTAAACCATTAAAGAACTCAGATATAAAAGAACCTTCCCATGGGAATAATAAAGATGACAAAGCACCCTACAAGTAGATAAGAACCTGATAATTGCTGGGAGGTGACAAAGCTGTAGTTGGCAGGGGACTAAATTAATTGAGCCAGAAAGTCATTGGCTCCTGTATTTCTTCGACAAAGACAAATATTGTTATGAATTATGTAGCAATTACCCTGAATTCATTACATTTGTATTTAAAATGTTGTTTCCCAATTTCAACTTTTCTGCGTTTGAAGGGTCCTTTCTAATATACTGTGAAGCACTGAAATTGTTGGTGTAGTAAACTGTTTTGCCTGCTTGAATTTTTATTTCATCGATAATAAATTATTGGTTTTCTCATCTCAGAAGAAATGCAAGAGTTTCACTGACATTTTATGGGTACTTTTGTTTTCTACTTTAAAACTATACTTCTGTCTTTAAATGTTACCTCTAGATAATGATATTCCGTCATATTGTATTTCTAAACTTGTAACATTTTAAGTAGCAGTTGCACAGTAGCTCTAATTTTTAAAAATAATATATGCAAACATAATGTAGAGATTGCAGTTTTGAAGGACTTGTGCATTTGTCTGAATATTACTGTCAGGTTTTCTCTCTTCCCCCTCTGAAGGCCCATCCGGACGATGAAGTATTTGGAAGGGGATTGGATGCTTTAGTTCAACTGAGTGCTGTTGTTGGCCCATCTCTTAATGGTCATCTTAAGCACCTGCTCACAAATGTAAGTTTTTAATATTGTGGTAAAAAATCATCTGTATTTTTATGGTATTTTTGTTAAGATGCTTACTATAATATCTGCACAGATGCAGTGGAGGACTCAGCAGTTCCATGAAAAGCATTACTTTATATATTTCTCTAAGTCCATAATTTTTTAATAATATGGTGCCTTATAAAGTTCTACAAATGTCCAAAACCTGTTGTTAATGTGAATTGGAGAGCTATGGAACTGTTGTCTCTACTATTTAAAAAAGATCCAGCTTCAAGCCTGAGGTGAAATAGATGCTATGTTTTGAAGTGACGTTTGAATTTATTGCAAAATGAGTTTTGCATTTTATGTGCGAATATTATAAAAAATCTGTGAAAGTTTCAATAAATTAACATAAGCAAATATTCCCACTTCTTTCAGATGGGAATTCTGGACAAGGAAGTTTTCATTAAATAAATTTAGAGTGGGATTATGGAAAGTATTTTTATACTGCGTCCTGCTGTAGACATCCTTACTCTGTCTGACAAGCTCTTTATGGTTTCATTTAGCCTGATCCCAAAGTGCACTTTTACAGCAAAATAAAAGGACTTTTTAGACATCCAATGCAGAAGAGAAAAATTGCAGCAGGTTTTTTTAAAGTATTTCCACTATAATAAATCTCTTTCAGTGTACGTGAAAAATGTGTTAACTTTTCATGTGGACACCACTTTAAAAATTACCTTTTTTTAAGGTTGATAAATCTTTAAAATTTGTTTGCTAAGTGAAAAAAATTTAAAAAGTATTTTTCTGGATAACAGTTGAGTTTTCCTTGAATTTAAGTTTTTCATCAGTTAACATTTTCTGTGTTTTGCCTTGATCAAGTTCCATACTTTGACATCAGTTACAAGCTATAAAGTGATGATTCTTTTTGTTTTTAATTTTCCAAAGATAAGATGAAATAAAGTAATAAAATAGAATGATATTGGTCATTTTGCATATATTGCACTACATTGTGCAATAATACTTTATTTTACTTTTACTCTTTGACTTTACTTTTCCAATAGCTTTCAAGAAGATTAATGGACAAGAAATTTAGAGAAAAAATTACTCTTGCTTTACAAAAGTTGGAGCAATATGGTGGAAAGGTGAGTTGATCAGATGATTATTCTGTAATCTGCACGTTTGAATGGAATTTTGCCAAAACAACTTCCATCTCTGGCTTTCAGATTAAGAGCCCCATTCTGAAAACTGCTTATTTTTACGTCACATCTATTCGTATTGCATAAAACACAGGATTTTTCACTGTGGCAATCAGCAGAGTTGTGTTCCAGTCCATAGTAAAATAGTTGTTTTAGTCTGTTTGACGTATTGAGTGGTAATAGAAATTATATTAAAGCTACTCTGGGTAATTCATATTCTGCAAGTTAGGCTTTGTTTTCTCCCATTTTTTTATCTCCCACTTTTCATTTGTTTTAATCTCTGAGCAGCAAATACAGGAGTATGCCTCGGTAAAATATTTCAAGGGACCCGTACCTACATAAGAGGCTGCATGCCTGGACTCTTACAGCACAGCACACTAGGTCCCATTCAGGAGAACTCTTTTTGGGAACAAGTGTGCATCCATGTGGATCCCTATCCATGATATTTGCTTGGAACATTTTGTTGTTCTTGGTGAGAAGCTTATGCAGACTTAGTAGTTAAATGAGATACTTGCTATTATTTCTTGAAAATTCTCCATTTCTCTAGAAAGTCTAAATTTTTTTTCTGGGGTTTGAACTGGTGTGACAAATGGGTTAGTTGTGTGGGTTAAGATCCAGGATACCAGATGTAAGTCCTTACTCCAAGTCAGGCATTGCAGCATTTAGAAAGTAGATGCTTTTGCTGAGTAAAGCATGTGAGCTGCTTGTACAGACCATAGAGTAGGCTCGATGCATATGAAGAGTGATCCAGGAATTCACCAAATGTCAACTAGTAAATAGCTTCTGGCCCCTTTTGGAGTACTGACACCTGACTCAGACTGAATATTTGCCTTGCTTCAGTACACCTGGCATGCAGGCTTCGTGTTACTTTTTTAAGCCTAAATACTTTTCTCAACAGCATTTACTCTTGCTAAAAGATACTTTCTGCTGCTATTGATGATGTCTGCCTATTCCCACTCATAGCTTATTGTTTAGGTCACTTAATGAGGAGATCAGATACTCACATTCCAGCCCACACTGGTTAACCCAGGGGTTAGATCTGCAATCGCTATAAATCCAAAAAATGCTTAAAGTAATAAATGGCAGAGCACATTCTGTTGCCATTTTCTGTTGTAACGTATATTGTGCAGAAAGGAGAGAAGAAAACGTGAGAGAGTATTGGCCTGGATATTCATCTAGAAGAGAAAATTATTTGCATTCTTGACCCTATGAACATTTGCATGTATTATAATAAATAGTCATTGGTAAAGAATAGGAGTAACCTAAAGACTAGGGATCATAAATGTAGGTCTATCAGGTCTGATCTGGTGGGCCTTAATCAGTAGGCACCCAACCAAATAATCAGTAGATGTGACTTCTTGTGTGTGTGCGCTCCTATTCATTTAAGGGCAGTAGAAATGTTCGTATTACAGACTTGAAAAACATCGCGGCGAATAAAGAAGCATGAGAGGTTTTTATTTATATGTAGTGAGACAAGAAAAGGAAAATTGCATCTCATCTTGATGTTCTGAAAATTTAGATCTAGATAATACAACTAATCCAGTGAACCATTAACCTCTAATTCTTCTTTCGTCCTCTGATTTCTTGTAGTCTTACTGGTTTGTGACTAGGTCTTTTTGTGAGTCTTTTAAAAATAGCTTAGTAAATCGGAAAACTGGGAACAAACCTCTAAATTGTGATTACAAGCAACAGTATATAATCCAACTAATGAATTTATCAAATTTATATTCTAAATAAGTTATAATTTATAGGATTCTTACTTTATTGGAATTCCCTTCCAGAATATCACTACCCTATTTAAAGATCCTTATCATTTCATGTCTATATTTATACCCAGTTTTAGGTATGAGTTTATATATCTCTTCTCTTGGATGTTTACTCTTCAGCATTAGTTATCACAAGCATCCATTTTTTCAGTTCATTATTTTCAGCCCTTTTGACAGTAAATTTCTCAGCAAATACTAACTTTTTAGTTTTCTACTGTTTGATAGTGACAAAGATATCTAAGTAAAAGTTGTGAATTATACAATTTATAAACAATATATGAATAATAGGTAGTGCTAGTATCCCTTATTTTGTTTAAATTTGTTTTATTTTCACCAACAGGCAACTGTGGCTATCATCAAATCTAAAATTCCAACCTATTGTTCTGTCTTACCTTGAGCAAGAAAACTGTAGTGATTTGTACTGTAAGGTAAAGCTAGGAAAGACACTGTTGTGAATAACTGACACTTATTTGGTATACATGTTATCTTAAAATAATCACAATTCTTCAGTATGATGGAAAGTAGGAAAAGTCCTGTCAGTTTGTGAATATGTAATTATGGAAGACTATTTAAAATAATGCTCTTTGTGTTGGCTGCTATTTGTGTATGCATTGTGCTTACAATGACATTGACTTAACTGGCTGTTATTTCAAAAGCAGAGTAAATATTGATTCTTATTTTGTTGTAAAGTACAATTTCCTGTAATATATCTGTAGTGCTTAATATGTTTTATACATTTGTGAGTTGCAAAATAATTTGGCTGTAATTAATTAAATAGTAACTAACGGTGTTAAATTATATATGTATACCTGCTTTTGAAACACGTAATTTATTTTGTGCCACAGGCACAGATGGATGCAGTTTGGGTTCACCAGGACTACTGGATTATACGTAGAACTATGAGAACTCATCTAGTCTTCTTGAGAGTCAGCTTTTAAAGGTATGGAGCTGAACACACTAAGCAGGTAGCATATGGTGCAAAACTGAACTTGCTCATTGCATTCTCAGCACGCTATTTTGAGAAGCTGTCAAGGCTTTGGAGGATACAGTGCAGAGGCATCAGGTTGCTCCATAGAGCCACAGCCTGAATTTTGTTCAACTAATTAGTTCCAGTTAGCTTTGGGCCTACGGAATGTGAGCGAGATGTAGGAGGCAAATCTGGAGTATGCACACTGTGCTCCCTTTGCACTGAGTTCTGTAATGTCACAGATATACTTGGGACTAGCTTGTGAATTCAGCGCCAGACAAGCTCATAAACTTCTGAAGATGGAAGCTATGAAAAAAATATGAGTTAAAGACAATAAAAAGGTTGCAGAAGCCAGTTTACCTGACTGTCAAGCCTTGTAGGGTGCAGTGTTTGTCTGTGAACGTATTTGAACTTGATTGCAAAATAATTCCTAACAGGTCTTGTAGTAAATACTGTTCAGGGTTGTTATGGGTATTTGGGGTATTTGACTTACTCTGCAAGGGAGAGCTGACTGAAGTAACAAAATTTGCCGTAGAACTTTTTCTCATGAGGAAAATTCAATTCCAGAATTTCAAGCTGTTGGATGGGGTTTTTTTTCAGTCATCAGAAGACGCTATTGCATAGGATATTAAAAAGTCTGTCATGTAAAGCAATTTCAGAATTTTTGGAAAATTACCACTGCTTGGCTAAATTAAATTTACTTCAGGACTGTGCTGAGATCTCTACTGAGATCAGAATTGTGCTAAGTCAAGATCTATCTATTTAAGCTTTTTTAAAAAAATAAATTTTGTTGGCAAAAATGTTCAATTGGAAGAAATACAAGTATTTGTATAACAACTCGAAAAATCAATTATGCTGCTTGTTTTTCTTCATGTTTACTTTATTATTTTTTTTTTACAAAATGTGCACATTTAATTTACACAAACACGCTACAGCAGATTTCAAGTGTACATGTATTGTACTACTCTTATCCTACACTGGTGATAGCAGAGCAGCCTTCAACATGCTTCTAACATCCCATCTCTACACCAGAATAGATACCTGATTTATTTTTGCAAAAAAAATGCTTGCAACATTCTTTCTACTTCATTAATCCCCCTTTCACATTTTCTGCCTCAATGTGACAATGAAGATTGGCCTATTTCTGATAGCATTTCACCTAGTTTGAAGTATTGGCATAAAATCTGTGGACAATATACATGGATTTGGGGGAAGTATTATATTTTAGGTACATAGTTTTTTAGAAAACTCTTCCTAGGTTCAGAATTAAGGTAGCTCCAATCTTAATGAAATGATCCTAAAAAGATGCAATGCATTTATCACATATAGATGATATTATATAGCTGAAGTTTCCAATTTTTTCCTGATTCTTTCATAATTAAAGATACTACAAAAAGCTGAAACAGATGTTAGCCTGTCTAGCAGTCATTATTAGTAGATGTTACTACATAGTGATAGTCACTCTGAGCACTGAAGTGGGATGGAAGTTTCAAAAGAAGTTCATGCCTTTTTCTTCATTAAAGGCAGAAAGACTTGTACTCATGAAAACAGCATTAGGATCCAGTTAAGGTTTCTTCATGAAAAGTCAGAAGAACTTTAAGCAAAGAACTGTGGACACATCCAAGAAGAATTAGAAATACAGTATGTGGGACTCGTGGTATTCATGTCATGATAAATTAAATGCAGATTTACTAGGTAAGTGTGATTAACAGAAGCTTACTCATATTAGGGAGCAAATCCACCTAAAGGCAGTTGCTTTTTTTGTTCTATAACAGTTATTCCTCTCAAGTTCACTATTTTGTTAGACTGGGGGCTTTTTTTTGAAGAGAAAAGTAAGTCAAAGGTGAAAGGCAATTGTAGCAAGATGTGCACTGCACATTGATTATAGCACTTTAGCTCAAAGTATTATTCAAAAAATGAGGACAACACCATACAAATGTGAAAAGAAAATACATGGTAATGCCTCTGTATAAATTAGAAGCTAAGATTTAAGAAATACACTCAAACACCTGGAGCTTAATCCAGTACAAATAAGTAGCAAAATTAAGAGTATTTATTTAATCTCCTTGTGATAGTATCTATTTTATCTAGGGGTTGGAATGATAGTAAAGCTGCATAATGCCAGGTCTTATATTGTTTGGGTTTGAAGTAAAAACCTGACTTTTCAGAACAATCTTGTTAGCTAAGTAGCAACTGTTAAAGTGCTAAACTGTATAATTTAGAAACATTTTTTGTTGGGAAAAGTTTATAATAAAAAATTTACTTGCATAATACATGTCTCAGTGTAAAGCTGAGTAATTTTATTTATGATAAAGTGGGAAATCCATCTTCTAGGTAATGTTGCAGAATAGCTCATATTTGTCCATTAGTTGTAGACCTAATGTCTTCATTAAATCACATTTTCAAAGAGCTGCATGGATCGCATTATATTCTCATCCTGTAAAAAAGGCAACAAAAAAAACAAAAATCATACACCATTACAAATGTAGCTGGCCAATATCTATAGTGAAATTGGATAGAACTAACCATATTTTAGTTAATTACATTATTTTTCAGGTTGTTTGGAGAAATTGTGAGCAGAAAAAGGCTGTTAATGGATCTACACTTAAATAGGCTTTTGTATATATTAATTAAACCAAAACTATTCTGTCAAGAATACAATAGCACATCAAGAAAATTAAGTCTTCAATATTTCAGACTTTTTAAGTTTATATCCAGTATAACAAAATACATATAGGCAATAAATTTTGAAAGAGTGGTTGTTGTATCTGAAGCATTAATTCATATCTGAAATTGCTAGGCCCGTGTATCATACACAGGAGCCTTTTTGCAATTCCAGGGCATCCTATTGCATAGCTAGGCATGTCTCTAAAAAGCGTGCATCTTTGCATGAACTGAAGAGTCTGTCAGTTCCACAGATACCACCACACCACTCTCTGATTCCTCAGCTCAGATGTTCTGGGTGTTCACACAGAAAGATGTTGACTACTTTCCAATGCTACTACTGCTTTCTGATTGCTTTGCATTAGGTAGGTAATAAAATCTTTGACTTCCAAGTTCTGCATAATGCTTACCAATACATCATTCTGTACTCCAGCTTTTATCAGTAAATAACTCTCACCACAGTGTTCAGGAAGAATAATTTTTTTTGTAAGATTTACCTTTCAGTATATAGAAGAAAGAGTTTACTTGGAATAGCCCATATTTAGTGGCACTTCTGGGTTAACAGTTGGTTGCACAGTACAATAAATACAATTATATATACAAAATATATACGAGAGTATATTACGCGTTCATTTAGCATTTGCTCGTCTCCACTGTAATGATCCTCTTCTTTTAATCTGAATGCACACCCTTTAGTACTTTCTTGAGAGATAATCTAGCCATCTTTAATTCTAGTGAATAAAAGGACTGAACTTGATAGAATATTTTAGAAAGTTTCATGAAAGAGATGCATAAAAAGCCCACTGCGTAGAAAGGTTATCTCATAGTATTCTCAGCTACTGCTAGGTAGGCCTTCTGTACATTACTGTTCCAATAACACGTTCAGTACAAATTTCCAGTTAAATTATTCACTGTTCAGTCTAGTGTGTGATTTGCTTTGTAGAAAATGACAAGTCTGAATAATTTTCTTAATTTACGTTATGAAACATGAACAGTGGGTTTTTTCATCTTTGCTTCTGTATGTCATCTCAAGTGATGTTGCTGTAAGAAGTGATCTGCACACTATTTTGTGCTGATTAACTTAGGAAAGCAATGATACATAATTTCAGAAAAATATGTAGATTAGTGCTCAAGAAGATTGTATAGGAAATTTACTAAATTAAATTACTGGGAATTAAAAGCTAACTTTTTCCCACTGCATTGTTTTGAAGTACCAATATACTACTGAAGATCACTGATTAATGTAAGGTTAAATGGTTTAACTGGAATAATTTGTCATTTAATTATTTATAAATGGCTCAGCAAACGTGCAATGCAAACAACATGCTTTTAATTTAGAAAGTGTTTTGATACTTCCTACTGATTTTATAATATATGTATCATCACTAATGAAATGTAGTTTTCTAAAATCAGCTCCATATTTCTGAATTTTGCTGTTTCTATACAGAAGACTTCCAATACCCTTCCTTTAGTCAGTCAAATGGGATAAGTCTTCACAAGAAAATACAGGCTTGTCATAATATTTGGAGCATGGTGACTTTTAGTAGCTTTTTTTTTCCACCTTCAAAAAATGAAAAAAAAAAAAGCAGGTGCTTGCATTGGAATTCTTTGGCAAGTGTATCTTTCTCATTTGCTTCTTTTTTTCAGTACATTTTTCTAAAATTTTCTTGATAATAGATTTGTTTGATTCCTAACTCGGGAGATTAAGAGCTGTTAGTGCATATGAAGCATAGTCCAGATGAAGCACAAAACATAGATGAATCAGCTTTGCCAGACCTGACCTAACTTTAAGCCAACTTCGAAGTTTTTCTTACTGAAATTTGAGATGGCTCCTTCCTTGTTTTCAGGCTAACCTAAACCATCAGCACTGTGTACAGAATGGGTTACTGAGTCCTGCAGAAAATATCTATCCCAGAAGCCTTTTTATCATTATCAGAAGGATTTTTAAGACGTTCACCCTGGCATTCATCTGTGCACCGTGCATGCCTTGGTCCTGTGCCTCTGCTCCTCATGGTGCTGCTGGAGATATGCCCAGGTCAGACAGTGAAAGGAGGCAGGTGAGGAGGTGGGTAGTGCCTAGCCCTTGAGCTAGCCACACTACTGTTTCCCAAGACCTACCTCTGCTATTTGGTGACTTATACAAAGCATGACAGACAGGAGCTGCTTTCTGGGACTTGGTCC